GAACATGACGGCCGATCGACGAATTACACGCGCGAGCTGGCGAGCTCATGTGCATCTCAATCGAATCTCAGAGGGGCGCCGTGTGTATAACGGTCGCGTGGCACTGCAGTAACCTATGCCAACTACTCGTTAAACTCTAACCGACGTGCAACATTCTCCAACTCCATTCGACGCTTATACTCTACGAGTTTAATGAGGCGGCGCCACCGCCCTCGCCGAACGAAGTTCCACAGAAATTGACGCAACTTCCGCACTAGGTATCCAAACCTTTCCTCATCGTCATAATACACCTTAAAAAAGCATGGCGAACCTCCCATGAAGCGCTGGCTGCAAGCATCTCATCCTTGTAACCTCTTCCATTCATGAAATCATGATACCAACGCTGGCGCTCCAACCATAGGCGTTGGGGCATCCTATCTCAGCCTCAGATATTCTTTTTAGTTGAACCCCCGCGTACCTGTCCCACGAAGCCGACCCACCCCAACCCCATCAGCCGGGAACCCCATCCGACTATTCCATGCTTGGCCTTGTTCCTCAGTTGCGTCCCTTAAGTTTCTCGTTACGGGCCACATACTAGGGGCCCGAAAAATGTCGCTTCCCGATGGCCCCAAAAATGTTGGTATTTCTCCAACTCTTGCGCGCAGTCTTAGGCCCCTGATGATGCGGCGCCACTTGGCCCGCCGTACGATCCGTGCCACCGCCTGTCTGAACGTCTGCACTACGCGCCCAAAGTTACTGATTTGCTGCTCGCGTGACCAATCTGCTCTTTCTGCCGCGTAGTCGCGCCAATCAGGCCGTATTGTCCCGTTAGCGGAATTTGGGTCAGTGTAATCACCCCGGTACCCCCGGTTGAAAGCTGCTTGGGCCCAATTAGTCCAGGGACCAGTGCTTGCGGTATACAGCTCATCTGCGTAATGCATCCCGAGTGTAATGGGTCCCCGGCTTAATGGGATGTGGGGGGCCATACCATAGGTACGTGGTCTGTTGGCCTGCGCCGCGGCCACAGTGGCAGGGGTCCATTGGTCTAGACTCCAACCAGAGAAGCGGATCCGCGAGACGGCACCGCGTGGAGAGAGAGAGAGATAGGCTCTGTCATTTTCATGGATCATGCTCATTTTACTCTCAAATGTCTCGTGAGCCGCGTGCACCATCCTCCATCCACCATGGTCCATGCACATGTGTGTCGGACCCCGCACGTCACTTAAATAAATTAAATAAATAAATTTATTTATTTAAGTCTCCTCTGACAAAAAGCGCAATATAAAATATTAAAGTATATTAAATTATCAATATAGATATGAATATCACAGCCGTAACAAAAATAGTGACGGCACACAGAATAGCCATCATATATGAGGATCTCCGACGCGGCCAGAAAAAGAGCAGAGGCTGCTGCAGATACGCAAGGACACGGCACACGACTCGGTGCGCGCACAAGGCGGCGTCGGCGTGACCATGCACAGAGTGAGGCGGGCGCGGCTACACCCAGACCGGCGCGGGCGACTTGTCGAACCCGAGCGGCTGCCCGGCGGCGTTGTACCTGCGGTCCCTGTGCGACTCCTTGGTCACTTCCTGCCGCCTCGCGCGCCGCGGCTTGCCGGCGCGCTTGCGCACCTCGACGAGGTTCCGCTCCTGCGGCGCAGCGCGGCCCTCGACTCACGCTCCGCGGGCGCTCTTCTAGCGCGGGGGAGGGGCGGGAGGG